GTCAAGTTCCATTTTATGGCTCTTCTCTTTCCTGGATCTCTATAAAAATAGGCCAAAAGGTCCCCAGAAAATTTGAATCATGGGGGGAAAATAAAACATGGTTATTTATAAAATTCCAGAGTAAGACTAGACTGAAATTTGACAGAGTTTTTTGGCCCACACAAGTGCACCATTATTATATTCAAAAAAGTAATTACAACTTTGAGGAACTGCTGGATTTTGACACAGATTCCTACACTATCAAAATACAGAGACAACTCGATTTACAGCTTAAATCACCCAAGGCTTTTTTCGTGGAATATCTTCACCTGGATTTTCAACACTGTAAAAAATGACTAAATTTCTCAAAATGAGAAACAAAAAACACCCTCTTCCACTGCTTAGTAACTTTTTGGACACCCTATACAAATTTTCCCTTTTCCAACACAAAGCGCAGGTCACGTTTCAAGCACTGAAAACAAATGGCTCCCCATTGAGCATCTTTTCTTCTTCTTATTCTTTTGACATAAGCAAAAAGGAGCAACTCAGGAATGAGAACCATCACATGGCGGAAGAACGTGGATGCTACGTTAGGTTAAGCAAACTCAAGCGCTCAGATCACGAGAACAAAGCGGGTTTCTTCTTCCCCAATTTCCGTTAAGAATACTGAACATTACCCAATGTACACAACACGATCACTGATGGCTCTCTCTCTCTCTTTAAAAAACAGAGGCGACATTGACTTTTATAGCATCAGAAGAATTCTTTCGAGAATCGAATCTCGACCTTTCCTCATCGACTCATTTATCTCAGCTTTGACACAAAAAACGCCTTGCAAATAATGAGAAAATAATGCAAATGAGTCGAGCACCTGCATGGGATAAATGACTTAAGGAGAGCCATTCCGCGAAAAGCAGAAAAAGGAAGTGCGAAGTGGTGAAGATTCAAACTACCATGGAATTGTTTCCGAGGACGCGGAGAAATATACAAGACCACGAGAGAATAACCGAAAATATTGGCCGAATATGTAGACCATAAAAAAAAATCACCAGTGAGTTACTGAGCGAAGTCATTTCCTCATATGTCTGAAGACGTGAGTATTTTTCAGCAATTTAAATGAAATAAATTTCAACACATCAGCGACATTTCAACGAGTTCAACACAAAAATTTCACGAAGAGAAAATCCAACATGAAGTATTTATATAAAAATGCCTCATTACAAATATTGATTCATGAATATAATCACCACTGCATTTACGACTAAAATATTCGTAGCATTTAAATTTCACGCAACTCAATCATGAGGATGAAACTCCAATAATAAATTGCCACGTGAATAGAAATTAATCGCAGTAATACTGTATACGGTACAATACCGAAAAACCCAAGAATACATATTTTTAACCCCTCAAAAAAGCGCTGAATACGAAACAATAATTTATAATAATATTTATTCACATTGTTCTAAACGATTATTCTTTCCTATCCCTTAAACAAGTACAAGAATTGTATTCAAAAAGGAACCACATTTTTCAAAATACAAAACAACTGTTTAAAAAGGAAGCTGTGCTCAACTGCTATTTTTGCAAAACCATAAGCTGTGGTAGATGAGAAACATATTATGATATACACATTTTACATATACAGTAAAGTGTTCCTAAAATAAAATGTTTCCCGATTTCCACATACCTTCTACAGCACATGGAAAATTATAATATCACCTGAATATCAGGATATTTTGAAAGAATTGCGCGTTAAAAACATCCATAAAAAAGCTCAACTTACGTGGAGAAGCACATGATTTTAGCGAATGAAAAGATTACACAAATCAAAGCATCATACAGCAAAAATGACTTCACTCACAGGACGTTCACATGAGCCAGAAAAAGTAGAAGGGGCCCGTTCAACCATTTTCACAATTAAAAACACCCTAACGATATTTTCAATACTTAACTCGGCAGTTTTTTAGAATTACGTAGAATATTGAAAAGCTGCAAATAATTCATGTAAATTCATCTTCAACAATTACGTGATTTTCTTAAAATCAGTGACGATTTGGCGAAAGCCAGTTTTGCCTTGAAATTTCGAAAATACTGTAGCTGAAATTTATGTTTTCCGAATTCAAATACTGTAAAGAAGCAAGGTTTCAAATAACATCTAAACGCTTTCTTCACGGAAAAATCCCTCGAAGTGCTACTGCATCAAAAAAAAAATTACACATTAAAAACAATTAATTCAGTGCGTGAATAAATTCAAGCAATATTTTTATTTTAGCAAAAATTCAGGGCGTTACTTAACTCGAAATCCAACAATTTGAAACAGAATCGATAATTCTTTGGGTCACATTCAAGTTTAACGAACAAGAATGTTCAACACCCGCAAACATGACTAGAATTGTTTTCTTCAACTCAACTCGCTTCATCATTTATCTCACGATATTTTATAATAAACACTGATCCATTTCGGGGGATCACAAGAAATAAGAAATTATATCTACCCAAACATTAATAGGTGAAAAGATAAATTGCTTCAACGCACATTGATCGTGGTACCACCGCAGTCATATGACCCCAATTTCCTCTCGCTTCATTAATTAACGTTCCAACTTTTGACTCTTAAGCTTCAAAATAATTACCCCGGGATCCAACAGCTCATCCGACTCATGTGAACCCTACAATCAACAGAGAGGGGGAGAAGAAAAAGAAGCCATACACCATCCGAACATAGCACCCCACGAAGTAGAACAAAAATAAAATATATATATTTTTATAGATATATATATATAGTAATATCAGAGTTCTGCGTAACTGCGCCCCGAGATCGCTTAGGAATGCCAACGACGAAAAAAAAACATTATTATTATTTTTTCTTTTAAACGAGGATTTTGCGTTTTGAAGTCGTGTCGTGTAATGCATAACACTTCCGCTCGGATATATATACAAAACGCGTGCCCCTTCACCAGAGACTGATGAGGGGCTCGGCCGAGTTCTCGATATGCATCCCATCACCAGATCCGCTCTGCGGATAATTACCTCCGCTGGAGTCGACGGGGAATAGGTTGGATGACGCGATCGACAGTGGCTGCTGATTTTGCTGATGCTGCTGCTGTTGTTGTTGTTGTTGCTGTTGATGGCTCCAGCTCTGCATCGACGTCGACGACTTGCCCTTGGACAGCTTCTCTTGGGCTCCTGCGACGGCAAATAAATCCTGTCACATGTCCCATTTTCAACACACACTTGGCAATCCAGGGCAAAACATAAAACAAATTTAAATTGCAATTCAATTATCACGATGGTAACACTTTCTCTGCTAGGACATAGGAGGGATACAGAAAATTTGAGACAGGTAAAATCGACACAGACAACTCGAGACAGGGACAATTGGCGAAAGGAAAAAATCAAGACAGGAACAGAAATATGAGAGGGAAAATTGGAGGTAGGGACATTTTAAGATGGGAACAATTTGAGACGGGGCAAATGAAGACAGACAAAATTGAGAAAAGAAAATTGGTGTAAGGGACAATTGCTGACAGGAAAACTTGAGACAGAGAAAGTTGATAAGAGGGACAATTTGAGATGGGGAAAATTTGAAACAGAAATTATCAGAGACAAGAAAATTGGAGATGAGGAAATTTTTAGGCTGCAAAAACCAGGGACATGGAAATTTGAAAGCCAGTAGCAAAGGAGCATACAAATGAAGTCCCATCAGCACTGAAACATTAAGCCATGATCATCCTGAAGTTCTTCCTGCTCTTTCAAAGAAGGAAATAGCTTTGAAAAATATGCATATTCACAAGGAGCAAAGAGGTAAAGTGCTCCGTATTTCAAGAAATTTGAGTGAAGTGGGCATCAGTTTAGAAGAAAATTGAAGCTTGGAAGGGGAAGAATGGTTGGTGTATGGTCCTATGGAAGAAGATTCAGGTGTAAGTGCTGTGTTTGGGAATCAAAGGGCCCTGATGGAGAAGAAATGGTACTACATTTAATACAGTCTCAACTGTTGACCTTCAAATATTTTTGTCTCAAATTGTACACACATCAAAATGTTTCTATTTCAAATTTACATGCATCCAAATGTTCCTGTCTCAAATTGTGCTTGTCACTAAATGTCTTTGTTTCAAATTTTCCCAGCCTAAAATTGTCCTAGGTTCATCACAGGATTATTTCATTTCACAATTTTCTTGTGCAATTCAGAGGTACTCATCCCCAATTATTATTAACCAGAACTGCCCAATGACAAGCATGTCATTTTGCAGAATAAAATACAGGTGGTACCTTGCAATTCAACAGCCAAATATGCAGGGAGGTTGACTTGCAATTTGACCCTTGCCCCACAATTCAACCTGCTTTGGCCATTTTTTGTTGTTGCATTTTTGTACTTTTTCTTTCCTGTTATCTCAGTACCTACTTTCCTGTTAGACCGCACTACCATCCTGACAAATCTTTAGGACAAGTTCATAATCACAACAACCCACCAGAAACTGTGAATTTTATTTTTCCGCATTGTGCTGAAATTGATTTTGGGAGGTGCTTAGGTAAAGTTAGGTTAGGTCAGGTTATGTTAGTTACAAATATCTTTCAATTAACATAACCTGACCTAACCTAAATTTGAATCAGTTTCAGCAGAAACCCAAAGAAAGCAGAAACTGGTTTGCTGAAACTGATTTTGGGAGGCGGTTAGGTAAAGTTAGCTTAGGTCAGGTTAAGTTAATTAAAAGATATTTGTAACTAACATAACCTGACCTAACCGCCTCCCAAAATCAGATTGTACTTTGTGCGCCAAACTCAACATTTATATAAAATAAGGCACGGAAAGTAGGTAATGAGATAACAGGAAAGTTCCATATTTTTGAACTTCACCGAGTGTCTTGCAATTTGAGCCAAGTTTGGCAATGGTTAGGGACAAATTGCGAGGTACCATCTGTATCTGAAGTCAACAAAATTCCTGAAAAGATCATTTTTCTCATTACTGTATAATTACTTTAAGCCGCAAACAAAAATTAAAAGTTGAAATTTTTTTTGGTCTAGAAGAGAACACCTGAACCAAGCAGAAACAATATCAACAGGAATAGCTCATAATGAACTTCTTTTTTTTTTCACCTGGAGGAAGAGAAAACGGTGCAGCACCAAAAGGATCTTCACTCATGCTCAATTGGTTCGCGGATCCGCCCACTGTAACACCACCACTCGTAACTGAAGCTGGAAAAAAAAACATTTGAAACATTTCATTTCACAACTCATGATGCACAGCCATGACGGAAATTCACGAATCGAATCACATCTGATTCATCAAAAGATCACAACAACACTGAATGAAATGAATGTAATGAAATGTTTTTGCATGGGGAAACCCTGAGTCAAAATTCCAACTTAAAAGTGAAGAATTGAAGCAGTCCTACAATCCTTTTCGCATCCGTTGGAGCGAATGAAATTCTGGAAGCTACCGTATTCCCCCCTCGAGATTCGATGCAACATGGTGATTCAACTCCTGAATAATTCAGGGGGATCTCTTTTAGCATTTCTTCAACGGAGGAAATCGAATATTGAGTCACAAGAGACTTGCATCTTGTTTCCAGCTGAACACATTTCATTCGTCGTTCTTGCAGTACTTCATAGCATCATTTTTCGATGCTACATTTTCTTCCTAGCTATGAAAATAACCGTCCATTATTCCATTTCTTCTCCGATATTTCAGGAGTGGGTTTTCAGACTTCCTGTCATGTCTTCGGGTTTTTTTTTGGCTATTTTATTGACACAGGAAGAAGAAAAGCAAAAAAAATTAATGTGACGATGCGTTTTGAAAGAAAGTGAAAGGCTAATTGAGGAAATGGGCCCTTTCTCCACCTTCAGCATCCTGACAACTCATTCAAGAAGCAATTTAAGGCTCAGAGTATCACCAATTACAATTTCCTGCAATTTTTCCTTTCCACAAACAAAAAGACTTCAGCTAAGTCGAAACCTCCATAACTCGATTTTTTTTTGTCTCGAAGCTCAACTGATGGAGATCCGACTGCATTTCACACGTGGTTTATAAATCATTATTCCCATATTTAATATGTGAATAGTTTTTTTTTTTCTCCAACGAGGCGTCAGACAATTTAATCGCGTCAGTTTCTACAAGTTTAAGGTCAGCAAGCTTCCAATTTCATTTTGAGTGTCTTGACATAATTTTCCGCCGCTACGCTTTCAGATGGAATATCGCTTCAAAACGAAATTCGAAGGACCGGAAAAAATCGTTGTAGAGCGAATTTCGTAGTAGAGAACCCGAAAGCTTCCACTTCATAAATTAAATCGTTGGAAACAAGCCCGTGGAACCAAAAAAAATTGGTCATACAATTGTTGTACAAAGATAGTCAATCAGTATTTACAAGTGTCCATTATTCAATATCATCATGTGCAGCAGTGGGGTTTTGGTTAACAGACACCCTAGTCAACGAACTACTTGGATAAATAACTTTTCATTACGTCCTTGGCTGCTTTGAATAACAAACGATGACTTGGTTTACAAACTTTGATTTTGCAGGCAGGCCTCCAACAATGCCCACCGTCTTGGGTCTGAAATTGGCACCATATATTTCCCAATAGATACTTCTTGCACTTGGCAAGAAATATAATGAGGTTTGAATTACAAAAATTTAATGATTCTTCCTTATTTAAACATTTCGGTTTTTATTTTTGAGAATTTATTCCTTGATAGTTCTCTCACTCTGCTTCCAACTGAGAAATAAATGGGATTTAGCACTGGAAGGAGTGTACAGAAATGGAGAGTGATTAAATTATGTGAAAGGATTCACTAAGAGGCCCAAATATATGTAAAATTTGAATCTTCTATGCAAAAAGCTCCACTTGCCCCCTCTGACATCTTTCCTAAGCCCCCGTCTTCATCAACACTTCTTTGGCCATCTCTAAAAAATTTTTCGAGTAAAAGTTCTTGGGTTTAGGTCAAGTAATATTTTAAGGTCCAGAACATTTTATCGATTATCATGTACACTTTCAAAGCTCAGAAACCAATTACGATTATTCCTGTACAATACAGTATTTTCTTAAGGAAAATGTGATTTGGTTAACAAACTTTGCTCAGGAACAGATTAAGTTTGTGAACCAAGACCACAGTGTAAATATTTCCCTACCATAAACTGAATTTCATTTTTCCGCATTCTGCTGAAACTGATTTTGGGAGGCGGTTAGGTGAAGTTAGGTTAGGGCAGGTTATGTTAGTTACAAATATCTTTCAATTAAAGAAGTTAGGTTAGGTCAGGTTATGTTAGTTACAAATATCTTCTGATTAACATAACCTGATCTAACCTAACTTTACCTAACCGCCTCCCAAAATCAGTTTCAGCAGAATAATTCAGTTTCTGGTAGGTTGTTGTGATTATGAACTCATCCTAAAGATTTGTCTGGATGGTAGTGCGGTCTTGCAAAGTATAGGTACTGAGATAACAGGAAAGTACAAAAATGGGTACTGAGATAACAGGGAAGTACCCAGTAAGGGCCAGGGAAACTCACCCCTCCGCGGTTGCTCGGCAAAGTCAGCGGGAAAGTCCCCGGGTTCCTGAAACGGATTCCAAAGCGACCCTCGCGGCGCCGCCACCTTGGCACTCACAAAAATCTGAGTATGAGACGCCGAGCTCGACACTCGTCTCACGAGGTTCGGGTCCATGTTCATGTGCTCCATGGCATTCTCCAAGACGTTCGTCGAGTCCAAGGGTACAAACGGCGCCGAGGCTTCGAAAGGCGCCAAAAACTGCGTCGTTTCCAACGCAAACTGCTTGTTGAAGGCGGAAGTGTCCGAGACGTTGCGGCGGTGGCGACGAGGGTCAGAGTCGGCGTCGGGTTTCGACGAGCACAGGTTAGGCGGGGTGATGGACACCATGGAATGACAGCTTCCGTCCGAGTTCTTGGTTGACATGGGGAAACCAAACACTTGCGCTTCCACGGCCTGAAGAATTCCCAATCCAGTTCATTAAATGAAAAGGAAGACTTCAGTAGAAGAATGTCTGCAATGCCGAAACGGCGAGGAGAGAAAATGCCCGCGAGAAACAATGCCAGAAGATAAAATTATACCTTTAAACACTGTACTGCCATGGAGACTTTAGGTTTCCGTGATCCAAAACAAAACCCAGAAACAAGACAGCCAAACCAAAATAAGCCGCCACCATTTGTTTGCGAGGTTTGTGGTATTTTAACGGGTTTCACAGTCTATTCCAATAGAGCCAAAATAATATGAAAATCAAGTACAGTATAATAAGAAATACTATTCATATTCTCTTAGAAAACAATCAAAATAACCCTCGGGTATGTAAATTATATCTAGCTGATGCTCCCAAGAAGTAAATCATGTCATCTTTGTGTGCGTACCCCGTTAAGACGCCCCCCAATAAAGCACCACCCTCAGCAACCACAAAAGTTTCAAATGAAACAAATATATGAAACAAATATATGTTAAATTCTATAGAAAACCTTGATAAGATGCCAACCGCCATCCACCAGGATTACTGATTAAAGAAAAGTGCTGTTTCCAATTAGTTTTGTCTTTGTTACAACGCCAACATTGGGGTAGAATTATAATTTCTGCCAAGGATATTGTATTTGTAAGGAAAATAATAATAATAATCATTTTGTTGAAAATTATATTGACCTAATCTTAAAATTTGAATACAGTAAATTGATGCAGCAAAAGTTATTTTCTGAAAGAGTAATCCATTGATCACAAAAATACTCTTTGGAAAATTACTGAAGTTTCTTACATAAACTGTATCTCTATGACTTTTGGAGGAAAATCGAGTATTTTTGATCAAATAATTGAAATTAAATATTCAATAAAACGCCAAAATTGCTCTGGACAAATGGTGGCATCTTATTGGGGTTTGACTGTGTTTTCTTTTTGATTGGAGACCTCTCACAGAAACTTGCATCATGTTGGTAGGGTATCAACGACAAAATTAATTGTTAGTTCTCCAGGGCATGCAAGAAAAATGTCTATCTCAACTTCAAAAAGTAGAAAATAAGTTCGCACAAGAAAACAACACAGCATCTGTCAATTTTGCATGAAAGTGAGTCCATAGAGCAAAAAACATGCGCAAATTTTGTTCAATTTACACATTTGATAGAAAACTCCCTGAAAAGGGCAGCACAATATTGGCCCATTTTGAATTATAGTTTGGAATAAATTTTTGAACTGATATACAGTAACGAATTTTCCCCCAAAAATTTTTTTTTGACAGTCAATACTTTTCAATTTTCCCAGAAATGTTGGCCAAGTTTTCATACGTTGAACATTTTTCATGCGTCATGGTTGATTTTTCGGATTCCAAGTGTCCATATGTCGAATCTTCCGCATGTACGGGCGTCCGTAAGTCACCCCCCCCCCCCTGTAATTTAATATCAGGTTTTTCTACGCGTTAAATTGACTTCCAACAATTTTCATCACTGGCATTGTCTCATTGCGCCCAAAAAATTACAGATGGACTCTCTCTACAATTAAAGTCAAGGGACCAGAAACAAATTCGTTGCAGAGCACCCCTATTACAGGGGAAGACAAGCCTATGGAACAAAAGAAAAAAATCTTAATACACAGAGAAAATCGCAGCAGAGAGGGTCCACCTGTATCACTGCGGGGTTGAAATTACGGAGACTCGAAAACAAAATAAAACGAGATGGCATACGGGTTTGGCGAGGACTTCTGTGAAATCCGAGTCCGGAGGAAACAAGTTCTGCGCGATTTTGGGTGAGATAACAACATTCGTCGTCTCAGTCTTCTGCGGCGGTTTTGGCAATACAGGCGCAGCAACGGGCAAAGGAAATTGTCCAGGCGTAGATGCAGTCTTTCCGGGTGCTTTCGGTCGTTTTCTAGGAGCAACACTCGTAGACTCAATCACACTGCCCAGGGATGATTGTGACGCAGGAGATGACATCACGGCCTTTGGCGACGTTCCATTGGGTTTCGGTTGTGACGAGGTGGGGTCCAACAAACGCTCAATATTCGGTACTTCTGAATGCTGCGAAAAATCAAGGTACTGTATCGTACTGTTCAACACCCATTTATTAGATTTTTTTTTAGAGAAGCTGCACGTGATGCACCATCTCAATCTCGAAACTAACACAGTGCATTTACGCGAATATAAGCACACCATTTTTCAATTCTCGAAGCTCAAAAAATCAGGGGAAGCTTATACAGAATTCGCATAGTTGAACAATTTGTGTAAATATTGCTCTACTTCAGGAAATCTCCCTGTTTGCAGCCCACAAAACAATCAAGCACTTCTTTTCTTCACTTCTTTTACAATTCAAGTCGAAAATACTATAGAAATGGTAAGCTTCTAGCACTCCAAGATGCACGAGTAATTGAAGTGGAAGAGCAAGGGTAACGTGACACCCTTTTGTCCTTTTCGAAGGAAAACCTAAATTTAGTCAGAAATTTTAGGTTCCCGGACAGTATCAAGAAAGTAAATGGGTTTTTACATTCAACAATTCCATGGAATTTCAATTTTAAGCATGAAACTTCGCGACGGTGCTAATACTCGTGTAAATACGGTGCTGTAAATAAATTGAGCCAACATTATCTCAAATGAAACGCCGCACATAAATTCATATTGCAAAATTGCTGTCAAGCGTGATCAGAAAACAAATAATTTGAGCGAGTTTTGGGAAAAAAGAGCAAGAACCTTCGCATGGCAAAACTAGAAGGATGACAAATGCAGAACATGAAAGACATGAAGGTTTCTGATCAAAACATCAAAATGTGTTCCTGAATTGGCATTCAATATTGGACCATGCCCAAATAATTTTTCAACGTGAAGGATAAAAATTACGATACTCACTTTCAGGTTAATCACCGGACACGGTTTTCCCAACAACTGGAATGCTACGTATGAAACCTGGAAAATATCTGGTCTCTTGTCTACGTCAGGCTCAAGCATGTAACGGATGAGTTTCACGAGTCCCGAAGAATACTTCGGGGTTTCAGGAATGGCAAATGACCCGCTTTGAATCGCGAGCAAACTTTCCCCGAATGGCAAGGTAAAGTAGCAGAGCTTGTAAAGAAGCACCCCGAGAGCCTGAAACAAAACACAATTTTATAGACGAACACCATTTTGATAGCAGGAGAAACACATCCGAACAAGAAGCACCCAATAATCGGTATTCTGGTGAGTATCTTTGGAAACTTCTCAATCTTTTTCTTGGAATCAATGGGTTGCAAATAAAAATCTTTCAAAAATTTAAGAATGCTCTGTAAAATATGCATAATGCTGATTTCTTTCTGAAAGCATTCTACGCTGCGGTTCGAGAAGATCGCTAATGTTCTGCTTGCGTCACGCAATTTTTCATTAGTTGCTTATTAATAGCGCACATGACAACACTTCAGCGGAGAAGGTTTGCTTCAATCCATTACCGAAACGTTATTTTTGACACACAAAAAAGAATTTCGGAAAGAGAAAATTGGTCAAATATTGGATAGACCAATTTTTGTCTGGGTGCTTTCTTGAAGACATGATCATTACGAAAGTCTTACCCAAATGTCGGCACGGGTATCGATAGTCTTTCCCGAATACAGATCAATCATTTCGGGCGCACGATAAGCTAACGTGGTGTACTTTGATATTTCCTCCTCGGCGGATTTGATATTGGAACACGGGTTGATTACCTTCGGAGTGGCGGACCCGAAATCACAGAGAATGTAATTTCCTCTTTCACTCGCGAGAATGTTTTCCACCTGCACATCCAATTTCGAAAATTACACGATCGTTTCATTGGAATACACGAATGGAACTCACCTTCAAGTCGCGGTGCACAATCGGAGTTTGACAATGATGAAGTCGAGACACTCCTTCACACACATCACAGAAAATCGTGAGAACTTCTGTCTCACTCAGCCCAACACCGAGTCTGGAAAAAAACCATGTATGATACGAGAGATTCTACGCAAAAAAATTGTCCAAATTATACTTCTCGTTCATCAGCTGGAGAACATGGCCTCGGTAATACTCCATCAAGAGCAAAACCTCGTAAACACCACCGCCAACGGCATTTATGGAATGATCTACATATTTCACGATGTTCTTGTGCTGCCCCAGTTCTTTCTGTAAAATTCAAACAGATTAAAAATTAACTAAGAAAAATCTCCAATTATCGTTATAGGAAATTATCTGCCAGGCGTGAAGTTTTTCCGAACGATCGTTCAAGTGAAACGAAGAGTCTTATATTCCTGTCCCCGTCTCCAATTTTCTTCAATTACGGAAGGCTTGGAAAGTCGTTGGGAGCACATTTTATCAAAATAGGAATGCTGATTTCAACATGCGATCGACAGAAAATTGGTCAAACATAGGACAAACCTTATGTGAAAGATGTTGCTTAAACATGCTTCAAAAGCTATAGAATTTCTGGGAAACAGAAAAAAGCTTTAGATGCAATGAAAAAAATTGGATTCGCACGCTAAGATTGGTCGACGATTGTGTTTTTCGCTTAGAGCTCGCTAACAAGCATACGTACCACAATTTTTATCTCCCGACGGCAGACGTGCAGATCGTACTCATTGTTAACGTACATTCGTTTCAAGGCATAATGGACACCGTTAGAAGCTTTGGCGAGGAAGACCAGCGCAAAGCCACCTTCTGCTATGGTGTCTTCGACGGTGAGGTGAAGTTTCCCCAAGTTGTACACTTTACCGATGAAGCTCGAACATCCGTCTTTACCCCCGGGATGATCACTCTTTCCGAGATGAAGCAGTTTTTTCATTATTGTTGAACATTCGCGAATATCATATCACAGGTCAGCGCCGACACTGATTAATCGGGTCGGTGGATTGGGACAAGGAAAACCCTGAAAGCATGGAATCGAAAATTATTGTGACAGGATCACCGATGTTTTGACCCCAACAGGAGCAGGTGATCTCGATATAGATATTTGAAGCTATATGTCACGAGCACAAGTCAGCTATCCTACTTCTTCCTTTTTCCACGTGGTGCGAAGCGTTATCTAGGTTATCCACCACTATTTTAGCTTGGTCTTTTCACTTGGAAATGCAGTAGACCTACATGTGTCCGGTCCGTACTTTAGTCAAGGTTGTAGAGGTAACGCCAATTGTAATCGAAAATTACTTCGGAATACAGTACCACGCAACTTCACACGAATCCCGCAATGACTTCTCGAATTATTATCTAACCTTACGTTTCAACTTCTAAAGATTTCAGCAAGCTTTCAAGAAAGATATTGCTTTAAAAAAATGCCATACAATGCAGCCTTCACTCTACGCACAGACTTATGAAGAATTGCCAACTCTTACAGGATACAGAACTTCCACTCCAAAGTCATGAAAGTAATATACAGTATTGTCTATTTATACAACTATAGGGTATACTACATACAGCATAATAATACTTTGCATGAATACAGGTGGACTCTAGCTACTACTAAATACAGCAGACCAGAGAAAAATCCCTTTAGAGAATCCCAATTTAATGGATGGAGAATCCTAGGGGACCCACAAAAAGAAAATCGCTATACAGAGAAAATCTTTTGAGTCTACCAATAAAGAATATGCCTACAAAAATCCAGAGAATTTTCTTCCGAAGCTGAATTATTTCAAAAGTCAAGAGCTATTTCTGAAAAAAAAAATCAGAAGCGATCAACTTATACGCACAGCAGACGATTTTTAATTCCTATCACAAAGTTTTCAAAAAGTCGTTGAACACTTTCACAGGCGCCCGGGCCACCTTATGACAAAATTCGGCGTCCGTGCCCTCGCTCAACATCACGGGCGACACGTAATTCGGCGAAGTCGGGTCATACTGAGCCCGACTCAAGCTCAACAAAAATCGGTGTCTCTCCTTCAGACGACACGTCCTGGTCAGGAAGGCGTGACGAGGAAATTTCACCAGCAGCCCGTGCGACCATTGCAGCTCGTTGTGCACGAAGTCGAACCTGGTTCTCAGCAATCCAACCTCTGGGAAAATCGATACGTTTTCAATTTGAAAAAAAAGAGGCTAATCTTCACTGTAACGTGCGATGCCATTAATCAGACAACTCGGCTCTCTTTCATGAACACATCATAGTTGGACCTCTTGCAGCCAAATTTGAAGAAACCAAAAGAATTCGGCTTGAAGAGATTTGAATCAGGGAGGTTTTAAAAAATAGTCCTTAAAATGCTTGCTGTAAATTTTAAAAGAAATTTATGCTGCAACTGAGTGTGATGTGTCCCAAAGCATTTCCTCAATTTTTCCCACTACTTAAAAGGCTGACGATTGGAAACCGCAATGAAAACGATTCTGGATGCAAATGAGCCTGACTAAAGCCAGGATTTTATATCAAATAAAGTTGTTCATTTTCCCTTTCCAAATCCATTAAAATTTGAATTTCCGTTCATTTCTTGTCTTGAAAACTCCCTAAAGGGCAAAGATAACAACTACTCATGTGACTCACTCATGCGAAAGAGCCTCGGGACAACCAGCAACATGCTCCGGATCTCATCATCCGAAAACCCCATTTCCTTGGATAAACTGAACACAATCTCCTGAAACACACACACAAACATAACACCATCGCATAAACCAATCCAGAGACAGTCAATGCAAAACTCAAAAAAATCCTACCTTGACACGCCATAAATTACAAGTGACAAGTCGTGGATAACCGGCAGTGAATTCCCGTACTTCGTGTCCTTTCAGATGGAACAACCGCTGAAAAAAGCCAAGTCTTCTGTCGATTCTCAAAGTACTGAACGACAGCCAAAACGGGTCCTGGCTCAAAATTCGAGTTATGCTGTCTTCGGTGAAGTTCTTCATTCTCAGGTAATCCACTCGGACTTGCAAATCCTCCGGATTTTCCGTCAATAACGACGGATTCTTCGTGATTATGGGTCCTAAACGCGTTTCCGGGACTCCATGATCCAGTAGGAATCTATTTAAAAATACAGGTCATAGACTTCCGTGAAATCATGCCACGTCCTGAAGCGCACGTGAAAAAACAGCACGAAATATTATGTACTGTATTAGGCAAAATGCAGACGAGCTTGTGACAAAATCGACGACTAACAATGGTCAGCTAACTATCAAGTCAGCTTGACACACAAACAAAAAGCCATCACTTCGTACAAAAATAAAGCGACAAAATAACACGCGTCATCAAATCATGGTGGAAAAAAATGTTGAAGGACAGGAACATGACAGAAGTTAACAGAACAGACAGATTCACAAGTATCAAATGAGCATGACCAAAGCGCGAGAACCGCACTTAGAACAAGAATAGCGACGAAACAAAAAGAGCATGGTGAAAATGAGACAGAAAAGGATAGAAGACAATGCAACTGAAGAGCACGTACATGACAGACAGAAGGACGTGGACAGAAGTGAATGAATAATACAAAGGAGAGCACGGGACGAAAGAAAATTAGACTGACGAGCATCAGACCAAGTAATTACAGTAATCAAATGATCCTGCAACTTGACAGAACATTACTTCACTGCTTCTAAAATTATTTCCGAGGTGATGCTGTACATCGATACGTTAATCCGTAAACTCATTCCGCATGATAACCACACACAAAGCACTGACATTGACACTGGAAACCATAGTAACACTTAGGCGGAACACTCACTTGATTCGAGGCAACACGTCATTCTCAAAGTTCAGCTTGACAATCAAATCCGCGTCACTCGGATTCTCTTCAATCTTGCTCAGATCCACACCCAAGTCCACCAGCCTTTGCAAATGCTCGGAACGGTCCACGTAGGCCGCCAAATTATACGCCATGCCAAACGCGGGTTTGGCGACGTCTCGCAAGGACTGCGCATCTTCACTCATTGGCAACAAGTCGTCCACTCGACCAAGAACCTCCACATCTTTCATATCAAACATGTTTTTCTTTTTCTCGGACAGCGGATTCTCCGTGGCGAGAAGCTTTTCCGCGAGACGCGCGTTAATGGTGGACTCATCTTCCAAACGCCACCAGGGCTTCTCGATCGGTAGTTCTTTTTCCACTGAAGTCGCGCAAGATCTGGGAAGAGATCTCCCGACACTTCTCGAACAACGGATCAACACTTGGCGTAACATGTTTCACGAACCGTGGGAATGACATTCACTTGGCTCACATTTACTACACCTGCATGTGATCATGAAACGTTCAGTATTCATGCGAATGTGGGCGACAGAAGCAATCACATACAAATTCCCCTTTTTAACTGACCCGTTGCATCGCAATTTGATCGAACGTTTACGCCATTTTAAATTGAAAATACTTAAGTTTTCAAATGAACTTGAAAATTACATTTTATTCAAAGAAAAAAATTTGCCGGACGCCTTTTAAATTTGCGCTGAGAATCGTAATTTCACTCTCACTTAATTCAAATCATGCTTGAAACGGATTCTTATTTGTAAAAGATTTTTGAAAAGATGATATCACTCATTGTGTTGAATTTCACACTACAGTATTTCACATGCTAAACTGTAAATCGAAGATCTCACGACATCATTATGAATAATAGAAGCTTCCCGCCACGTAAAATTAGCATTTAGAGAACAAGAACACTTTTGAATTGAAGAACGTAAAGGGTTTTACGAATTTACTAAGATCAGAAAGAAACGCAACTTGGATTCGCGTATACTGTACACGGTGTAACAGAGCCAGAAATAAACTCCAAAAAGAAAAACCGTGTAAGAAGATACTGAATAAAATCAGAATTGAATCCTTTCAAGGAAAAGAACAGTTTCATTCTTCCCAAAACCACTGAAAAATAAATCCATCGCCTTTGAATCACGATCAGCACTAGGCGAGCGATTGACAAAATTTTAAAAAGCTCCGCTTCGGAAGGTTGTCGCAATGCACCCAATATTTTGTTTCTATGTTTCACAAGCCACATACATTAATCATGTGTTCGAGAAAGCATTAAACTTGACATGAGAGGGACGATGCTTGTGATTTTCAAAGGATTGAATCAAATGCCCTTCTCATTCTTAATCCTCCTCATGAAATACTTCAATTTTTAGATCTTTCTCGAAGTCAACGGAAGGCGATACTTCGGGACACGGTACACATCAACAAACAAAAATCGTGATAAAAGTGCTTCCGGTATTTTTCACGCTGCAGTAAATAGCTCGTCAAAAACAAGGACGTCGAAAGTAAACGAACTCCCACTGACGACTCGCCAGAAATTCTTCCTTCTCTACTTCTTCCGTTTCAAGTTCTCAAAGCGCTTGGTCAAGTCGTCAAAATCGATGCTGTCTTCCGGATTACTTCCACCGGCGACGTTGGAAGTGTTATTCGTGTTTCCGTGGGTCGGGGAATGCGAAGGAACATCCGGAAGTCCGGTCGGAACAGCCGGCAACGAAAGAAGCGGATCCGGATCTTCGTTGTTCCCGCCAGGGGGAGGCACTGGGCTGGTTTTTCCTCTAGGCGCCGGTGTTGGCTTACTGACCTAAAAAGCCCCAACAGTGATTTTTTGGTTCAACTTTGGTGGGCGGAATGAACAAGCAGACATAGATCTTGGTAACACTTCCAACGCACTGGGGACTTGGCAGAAGCATGAAAAGTTCATGTGGAAAGAGTAAAGAAATCAATTATTCAGCATCAACAAGGTTTGGTCAAGTTCTGTCAGTCTTTTGCTTCCCTCGCTTTGAGTCATGTTGAATGAAAGAAGGAATTCTTCAATTGGTAAATTTGATAATACTATATCTTGACCAAAACTCCACGTTTCATTCATTCAGATATAAATTTTGAGAACAGAGTTGAAAGTGCATCAAACCACTCTGTTGAAATTATACTGGCATATTTTACAGATTTTCAGGCAGTGCAAGGGAATTTAAATCATAAAATCGAAGAAAGCATCGCAACGACCACGTCCAAAACTTGACAAACATAGTCTAGCGAACGGAGACAAAGTCATTCCTACCCAACAAAAAAGCAACAAAATAATCGCTACGAAGGACCGACTACGATTTGAATGACCAAAAAAAAAAATTGCACAGTATCCTCAATTCTTGAAAAAGCAAACAGAACAATTCGCGGGGTAAATCAAAAGTTTTGTCAGTTTCGTCCTCCTTTTGGGAATCTGGGCTGATACTTTTTAATGCTGATCCGAATATGAACTTTCTTTTTCCACATTAACTGGGAAAATTTTTTCTAAATTCACTCGATGAATATACGGAAACGCCCTATTTACAAATTTTTGAGGAACGAACAGCAATAATAAACTTAATACATGCGAAATAAAAAAAGATGACACTACACACTATGTACTTGAAATTTACTCGAGCCAAAATTAACCTTCGCAGCATCACCAGTTATCAGAGCTGGCATTTTAAATCGAATACAGTACAGTATTCAAATTCAAGTATTTTTTTCTAACGTGAATTTCCCACAAGACTGTAAGAAAGAAAGTGGAACAAATTCAAATATGTGAAAAATACTATCCAAAGAGAACAACTGAATAGAATTCGTGCGAAATTCAAGATTCTCAAGTACTTCAGAATTTTTCTCTTCCGTCTTTTTGGATATCAAGTTTGAAATCGTCCAGTCCACCCCGACATCATTCACAAGGACTAAAAATCCGCCCTCCCCCGAAACTACGGCTTTCAACCCAAAAACAAAAGGAAAACCCACAGGGAGAGGAAAAATTTAAGATTTACAGTTCAATTCTTTTTTTCTTCTTCTTTTCTGTCTGTCTGAAAATCAGTTTTGAAATTTTCCAGTCCACCCTGACATCGATCACAAAGACAAAAAACACCCCAACAAAGACTTTCAACCCAACTACAAAAAAAGTACCCACAGGGAGATGAAAGAAATTAGGCTCAATTTGAGCTCACCGTGGGAGCAGCAGGCAAAAAATTACTCGGTCCAGGGTACGGCGGCGGCGGCATGTTATGCATGTAACCCCCGCCCCCCTGGGCGGAGTTTGCCTCCATCTCCTTGGCTTCCCTCGGCTTCATTTCGAACAACAACGGAAAAAACAAAACGAAAACCCATCTCATAACCGGGACACGAACCGAGAATCAAAACGTGCGATACGAAAAATTTGTCATCTTTTCAGTTACCCAGATTCCATCCTATGGAATAACTCACATCCAGAGAAGGATAACTCGGTGGCATCGCAGGAGTGTCCACTGAGGGATTGAACATCCCGAATCCATTGTCCACAGGAGGAGCGAACGGCTTCTGTCAGGAAATCATTCGAAAGATTGAGTAACATAAAAACCATGGATGTTAATAAGTTACTTCCATCAAAGCAAATACAGTCAAACCTCTCGAAGTCGAAGTTCAAGGAACCCGCAAAATTATCCGAGTTGATAAGATTTCGAGTTAGGGAAACAAGCATGCTTAGTGCTGGAAAGATAGAAGCATCGCAGGAAATTGTAAATGGTGATATTCTGGGCATTGAATTGCTTCTTAAGTGAGTTGACAGTATGCTGAACGTCTTTGGTAAACTAAACAATTTTCCAAAAATTCGTAAAAAATTGAAAACAAAATTGAAAACATAGGTGATTCGATTTTTTCTGCATTTTCACCACAATCATAAATTTTGGAAAATTAAATAGATTACCCAAGATTTTTCAAGCGTTTGACATTTTTTCAAAATTTAAACACACTGAGAAGTGAAAAACAATCCAAGATGATTAACCCCACCGCAGCACCCTCCAACAAAATAAAAATTAAATTTAATAAAATTATAAAAATTATAATAAGAATAATAAAAGAATAAGAATAATAATACTGTAATAATAATGAGAATTATAAAAATGCATCAATACAAATTCACAGGGTCTTCTCGTCCCTTATTCCCTTAGAATAATTTGAGAATTCTAACTTTGCTCAGATAACCCTCAGTGTTTTCATCGCTGGGTTTTTTTCTTTTCTCAAATTTTTCCCAAAATTGGACATTCTTAAATAAGGGCAGAACTGGGACAACTCCGTTGAACACTACTTGGTGAGTCAACAATGTTGAGAAACGCTCTTTTTACAATGAAACAGTATTGCTTCAACCTATGTACTCTCAAAAACTCTTCAAAATACACGCGTAAGTTTCAAAAGAGACACAAATTCCAAGACCAGTGAAACAAACGTGTGCTTTTCCTTATCCAGACCTACCGTACATGAAAAATGATGATGCCAAACCTGCGGTGCGTAGTCAAAGGGTTTATGCGACATCCCACCCACAGCCCCAGGCATTTGGACGACGGGCTGACCAGGGAAATCCTTGAACCCTGGCGGGTCAGGGAACCCAGCCACTCCTCCTCCACCTCCTCCACCGCCGCCACCCGCGGAATCCCCGGGCCCACCTTTCTTGTTCAAATCTATCAGCAAAGCATCCACTCCAACCGTCGTTTCTCCTTGCATCACCTGTGAACACAGAGATACGGTAATTTTGTTCATCTACTTCATGGTACGCGTATCCCCGTTATCGCATTCTGTTCCTCTCGAAACCGGAATTAGGAACGTGAGTCACACTTGAAACAACTTTCTGGAAGATAAGAAATTGCGGCACGAGAAACCCGTTTGACAGTTTGTGTCTCTGACTCACCAGTTCCCAGTGGGTGACTGGAGAACACGTGTTTCTTTTTTCTGTCACTCGGAAATCCCCCACCGCACAAATCAATTCGAAGAGCAACAATAAATCCCATGAGAAACGTGAAGCACTCTCCGATAAATGTATAACAGAAATTGACTCTAAAAAAATACTCTTGAGAATAAAATATAATTTTCTTTCTGCAGATAATATCGTTGTAGCAGAAATTTCAAGGAAAAACTTCGCATACACTAAAACTAATGAAAGAATTGAATTGATCATAAACCTCACCAGTGACTTATTTCCTAATGATCCAACTCATTATCTCACTTTTTTGCCACATAGTCATCAGGTCTAGGACAACTTCCCAGAAGTTCATTTTGTTTCGTTCACATTTTAGTTTATCTTAAAAGTCAGAAAAAACCATCTGAAAATTCCCAAAATATGCGAAAAATCTCAAGATTAGCTGAAGAACATCCAGGGAATAGGGTGGACTAAAAAATCTTGGTCTTCTCGCATTCCCAACCGAGGCGGGGAAATTCACCAGAAACCTTCTATAAAAATTTAATTATACTCTAGGAAAATATGTTTCTTTCTCAAAATGATCTGAAATCCGGAAAAGCGAGAAGTGTAAAACTTTTTAACAGTCCCTCAAGACACTGACTAGACGCTTTAATCGTACATTTATTGGCGAATTAACCGAAGAACTTCCAGGAGACATGGTGGACTAAAAAATCTTGGGTCTTCTGGCGTTCCCAACCGAGACGGGAAATTTTACCAAAACTCTTCTGCAAAAATTGAATTATACTCTATAAAAATATGTTTCTTCCCGGAAATAGTACAAATACTCTAAAATCACGAAGAGAGAAATGCATGAAACTTTTGAACAGGCCCTCAAGACATTAAAAACACTGACTAGACGCTTTTATTGCTACAGCAATAAAACTTCCCGACGCTCAAGCATCGTTTCGAACGATCAGTGACTCATCGACAGACCCGAAGTATTTTTGAGGACCTCAAGCAGAGCCTAGTACTGATAATTAGATTCAACTTGCTCACCTGTGGGTCGGGTTCATAGGCAATGTCGTGACTCTTGGCAATTTCCATAAGATAACGTTCAACGAGAATCTTGGGAGGCGCTTGAATGGACATTTTATGGATGAGCTTCGGGGCAACTGTGCCGACTGCATTGTCACGACAGGCCTGGGCGTAGGGCTTCCCGTATTTCACCGCCAGCTGATCGGCGACCACCTGCAAAATTATTCAGTTTGTTAACACCGTATTCACTGGAGTACCCGGTACTCTTGAGTAAGATCCGCACTTCTGCCCAAAAATCTATCCCCGCACACATTTTTGCTGGCTGAAAATCCAAACTTGGTAGCAAAATAATAATTTGTAACAAAACAACTTAAGCAAGAAATCAAAGAACTAAAAGAATTGAATCAGGGTCGATGTCAAACAGATTTTGCCACCCATTTTTCACGCCAATACGGTTTCACGATTTTCCTGCTTTGAAAAATTTATAAGCGCACGCCACATTTCTGCCTCAGTTTTCAAGCACGAATATGCGAATTGTACTTCGATAAATATGGTAAAACTGATTAAAAAAACATATTTCTTGCAGAACTTGCACAGAGAAAAAAAACCTTGTGATACATTTTCAAAAATTAGTTAGATGCCGCAGGTCTAGATCAAGAAATGAAACATCCATATTTGGAACACTTCAAAATTGAACGTTCCCGGAATAATTACACTCAAACCTCGATTTACTGCCGTTCTTCGTCCTGGGATATTTTGTATCACTAAATTGGAGGCACTGCATGAGAGCAAGGTTTAGTTGATGGTTTTTACTAAAAGAAAAATAGGCTTGTTTCCAGAATTGTTAGGTCATTGAGTAAAGAGAGAAAGCCGCATTAAATAATGTCAGGCTCACCCTCACTTTTTTCATCGCAAATTTCAATCAATAAAACAGATTTTACCATATTTTTGAAAAAATTGCCTCAATTAAAACTAAAGAGCAGAGATTTTTCTTCAAGTTTTGCGTCAAACTTACAAAGAAAGCACAAAAATGCAAGATCAGATAAATTCATTTTAATTTTTGGAAAGGCTATATAAGTTATGCAGAAGCTTTTCACTGTGAAGGACATTCGAATAATGACATCGAACAACAAATAAATGCAGAAATATAATTTACGCTTCTTAGGAATAACCGAGTGAAATCCCTAGAAAAGACCTCAAATTCTTCGATTTTGGCTCATTTTTTTACCCAGGACACAAAATCTTCATGGCACTAAATAAATTGGTCTTAAATTTGCGGCTTCCTCAAGAACATAATGAAGAGAAATTTTGTTCCGAGAAAAATTGTGACATCATGGAAAGGGTGGCAATAAATCGAGGGTTGACTGGAAATGGATCACTCAATAAGTTACTGCACAATAGAATTGTCCTGATCCATCGACTAAAATGTGAAATAATTTCATTTTAAAAATGGTAGATGCCACTGAAACTCAACATCGGCAATTCATTTCCGATGTGATCCACGAACTATTTTCGATACACCATCATCGCTGATTTTCCCACAACAAGATGATTTCTCGCATGGCCCTTCTACTTCTTCTTGACGAACGTAGAATTTTCCACTCGAGAAATCGTCAAGGCAGGATATATTTTTCAACTCACTTTCAATTCCTGCACATCCGTTTGCAATCTCGGGGCAACCCAGATGAGACTGGAGATGGATTCCGCCAATCCCTCGTCCAAAGTCCTACGAACGTATTTTAAATGTACCGAAACAGTCCCAAAACCGTGACATTCAACCAAATTCTTACTTCATTTGCTGAATGAGCCCGAAACGAGCCAACAGAAGATCGCAGTACATTTCGACGATTTCCATGGCCTCGACCAAGTAATCTTCGCGAATAATGTACTCGACCCGGATTTTGGCACGTTCAAACTTCCCGGCAGCGATGTAATCCGCAATCTCCTTCCGAGCTTTCTGCGCTAGCTCGGTTTTCTTCTTTTGCAGCAGCTTGAGGCGATTCACCGCCAGCCGCAGATTTGTTTTCAATTTTTGGAAAGTATTCGTAAACATGTTTGTCTGAAAACGATGGGTGAATGTTCAAAGTCACAATTTTCACGACGCAATACGCTGATAAATTCCGGGTTGTTTCTTGCTTTTCGCAACCAAACGCTTCTTCAATTTTAGGTCTTTCAATAATTCAAACATAATATCATCCTTTCGACTCATTTAAGAAGCCTAGAATATCACCAATTGAAATATCCGGTAATTCTTCTACCTTTACTCCAAAAAAAAAAAAACGTGTTACCCTAACTCAAAACCACCCAAAATTCGATTTGCCACTGGTTCCTTGACGTTCGACTGTATCAGTTGGTAATCTTGAAAACTCATCATAGCAATTTTATTTTATCGAGAAAATGACTGACCTGTACAGGTATGATAACCCATGCAGTAAAATTAATGTTTAGTAGCTCATCCCGCGGACTTCAATTAAACGGAAAGCACAGACAAGAGCTCGGTTGTTTTAAGCAAATACGATATTCCTTCCGGTGGTCCAGGGGTCGTAAGAACGGATAATATTCCTTCAGGTGGTCCAGGTCCAGGGGTCGTAAAATCAGATGCAAAGATTTACATGACCTCCAGAAACACTGACCATCTCGGAATACAAATCAACGGCCCACTCAAAAATTTCACAGAATTAATCTATAGTTGTAAACAGATAACAATCAAAACTCCAGCATTATACACTTTTCCTGCTAACAGTACTAATTGTTAAGGTAGCGAATGGAAGAATATTCCCTCAAGATCCACGGGTGCGAAAAACACTCGTTGAAGTCCGTGCAATTTGAATTTGAACTTGAACATACCGCACTGAATACCAGATCAATAATAATTTATAGTACTGTATATGAAAGGCTTGTACGAGAAAGAAATCTAATGTGAACACAAAAAAGAACTCCCCAGCGATCGAAGATTCACTCCCAGCAGCTAGATGATGAAATATTGCTTATTTTGATTGCGAAAAGCAGGAACAATCCAGAGTTAAGACAACACAATCGATGCGCCAAAACAGAAACTGAGCTTCACTTTCCGGGGATCATGGAAGCAATTAATGCAGAACGAAGCCGTGTTCTCCAATACTGTCACAGAACGAGCGTCCGAGTGTGATCGCCAACCCAAGCTATTAGTCCACAAAAAAATCATACCGACTCAACCGATAAAAAATATAAAAACCAAAAATAAACAACCAATCAATTATCCCGGAAGAAAATCCGAATTATCCGCGGCTGAGCTCGCGGTTTTCAGCGATGTCGGAGTCATCAAAGACCAGTCCGAGTTGAAAAGATCAAGGCACTTCGAAGGTGTTGACGTAGAAAGGCTACTCGTAGTCGTCACCGCAACAGGCAATGCCAAAGTCGAAGGTCGCTTCACTTTCGGCGGGGATTTCACTTCGACGCGACACACATGCGACGCTAATATCTCTTCCAGTTCACACTTTTGCTTTTGAAGAAGGATGATTTCATTGAGCAATGCTTGACGCTTCTCTTCGAGAAGATCCGTTTCTTGTTGCAGCGTGAGCGTGTGATCCAATCGACGCTTTCGGCAACGGGCGGCGGCTTCCTTGTTCCGTTCACGTCGCATCTTCCGGCGATCGTCCTCCTCATTATCCACGGACTTCCGCTTCAACGACTTCTTGCTTTGCGAAGGCATGGTCATGGGTTCCGTGGTCGTGATCACACGAACCACGGGAGGGATGAACTTGGCCTGGTTGACGTGTAACGAAGGAGGCTGGACTTGGAGAGCGTTGAAGAAGTCTTCTTCGATATTCTGGATGCGAGTCGGGGTCAGTGTTGGTGTGGTTTGGGTTAGGACAGCAATAGATACGTCTGATGTGTGCACTTCCAACGAGTTATTGATCTCGACTTTCGTTTCGACGCAAGCAGGAGATGACGTTCTCATCGTCAGACAATAAGCATCCTCCACAATTCTTGCTCATACCGAAATCTTCACAGGAGTTTTCCATTCTCGACTGAAAGACAGAGGGAACACATTTTGACTATCAGAGGGATTACAAGGTTCGCGAAGAATTTTTTCTTCGAAGAGGATTCCGGACAATACTCACCACATCTAGGCTTCCAGATGTGGAAAGCCCACTTCTGGCTACGATGAATCATCCGAAGAGCTTTCCGGTTAAACTTGAATAATTCCGGGTTCAATAGTTATGGCACAATGTTAGAAAAATATTCGATCGATCACGACAAATAACAGTCTGTCGGAGGGGAAAGAAAACATGCAACGATAATTCAACGCATCAACTCAATGAGAATAACCGCGTCGCCTTCACGAAGAATGTCATCGTTGATCATATCTGCGATTTCTGTCAATCCATTGTACGGGATGACAGTTGAATTCACATGATTCACACAATTCGCCCACTGCAACAACATTTATGACTAGGACATTTCCGAGATCGTCACGTTTTCATCAAACGCCGTACATTACCAGAAGAACCCTGGATACCTTTCCGATGTGTGGATCTTCTTGCTGTGAGTCTTTATACTGGAACACCTACAATCAAGTTTTGGTTTGGTATCCCCTCCAACTATCGCGCAACTCTTAGGACAATAGGATAATTTTGAAAAATCTTCTTCTGAATTTAAATTTTCAACATCTTTGTTGCTCTTGCATGACACTTTCCTTCACTTGAAAGTTTGTAAATCATTTGGGAGATTTCCTATATACATTATTGATACCCACATGTGGGAACCTATAATACTGTACTGCACAAAACTCCCCAAAAAGTTGAAAGAATACTGTACACAGTGTACAGTATCTGCTTCTTTACCAGACTATGTATGAAAGAAATTCTTAAACATTTTTTTTCATTGAATATGCAGTACTGCATTGAGATATGGCACTAGTGTGCATTCTCATACAAATATCAACATTTATTTTACGTATATATTGCTCTATTTTCCCAGCAATTTATGTAAACACATGATTTTACCAAATAACAGTCCGTATTTGCAAATACCACAGCTGAAGAAAATGGAGTATATTTGGAAAAAAACAGTGGTAAGATAAGAAGGTGAAAAAGATGAAATACCATCTGCTGATGAGTAATTGTCATTAGATCATTGAACAGGAATGCCAACAGTATATGAGGATGGGTTTCTTTCTTCATCTCTGGATGCATGGGAGTGAAGGACTTCTCTGAATATGGGAATTCCCAGGATTCTTTAATTTCCTCATACAGTACTGTACAGTACTATAGGAACTTACGGAGTATCCTCTTATTTTCATATATATTTCCATGTTTTCCCCACATTTAGACCCTACTTCTTCTATATAAGGTCTACAAGAGGGATTTCACTTATTTACAAAGAAAGATTGAAGTTTTTCAACATTGCATCTAAGGGGGTTTCCAGCAGCAAGTCATTCAATCCAAAATTCCTCAAAAATTATTTTTTTTATGATTATTCCCCTCCAGGAAGGGCGCAGTGGATTTTAAATATATGAAGACTGATAAATAATATTTGTGAAAACAGGTCAAATATACAAAGTTCACTTCCAAGAAGGGGGGTTTAAGTTTTTAAATTCTGTATTGGGTTTTGAGTAAGACCTGAAATCCTCAAAAGCGATTTTTCTCATCTCAATTTCACTCACCAATGTCACAATCCAACAGAGCATATGAGGAAGTAGAACCTCATGCCAACTTGCAGGAAAGTAAGTACAAATATTTGTTAGGATAATCATTATAGCTTCTGAGGTTTAGATAATGCAGGAACTCCTTTGGCCAAATTGCTTTTTTTGGATAACATTGGTAACTTAGTAACTGTGTATTGACTGTTGCGACAAATGTATTCCATTCATACCCAAAGCAGTGAGATGCTGAGAGGGAACTTGTGCTTTTACCTGTGCAGCTGGTTAGTTCTATAATTTCCCCTCGACCAACATTCTTTTAGTTATTTTATGCATAAAAAACTGTTCTATATTCCGACACAAAAATAAACAAACACACGAAGGGGACGAACACAAATACAATAAAAACGAACAACGGTATGAATACGACTTTTAATCGCGACATCCAACCTGAATGAACAACTTTCGTAGCATGAGCAGTAGAAAAACTCGCGTGTCAAACTCACAATGGCACGAAGAAGCAAGATTGTATTGTATCTTTTCTTTTTTTGGTACAAAAAATGCGAGATAAGGACTCACGGAATAACTCCGAATACTTTCAAGAAAAAATTCACGCAATGCCAGCAGCATATACCAAGCACAACCGACAGATCTTCCTCGCAATACCTCCAAGCTTTTTCAATAATGATAAAAAAGGCTCGTGCGATCTCAAAAAAAAAAAACAAAAAAAAAAAAAAACCACCCGCACAAAAAAACAAAAAAAAGGAAAATAGCAAAAAAAAAAAAAAAAAAAAAAAAAAAAAACCACCCGCGTTCCGCATCACACCCAGTAGTACATAAGACCGTCCTGAGATTTCCGAAAAAAAAAAAAAAGTCAAACCACCTGTCGCATCTTTGGATCATCCAAAAGAACCACAGGAACCACATTCCAGCCACTTACCCGGTTTCCGAACAACACATATTTTTCTTCTTCTCACATCAATAGGAAAAAAAAAAAACACAACTCACAGCAGCTTTTTGTAACACTTCTCCGAGCAAGCATAATGCTCCACGTTAATGACATCTTGTTGTTGGTTGCCGTCTGACCGGAATTCCCGAGCTTTCAGACTCTGCAACAATTCCCAGAGCGGGGTTTGCTTCCGTTTCTTCCCATAGGTCATGAAGAACAACCGGAAGCAGATGGAACAACGCTTGGCTTCGCTCAAAAAGCTGTTGAGACACACGGGAATGTTGGGGTAACCGGGATTCTTCCTGCAAAACGACAAGGACCAAAAATAAGTGAAAACGAAAAAAAAAAAAGTTGGCACAGTGGTACTCCAGATAATGGACGCCTCGCATAATGGATTTAATGAAACTAGAACATCACCGAATTTCACTGTGAATTCTCTTCAAAAAATAAACTGTAGGAAAGGAGAGCATTTCTTCGAGAGAATTACGG